TTACCCAAAGGAAAAGAAGTCATTGTATCAAAAAGACACCTGCACTCAAATGTTTATTGCAGCACAATTCACAATTGCAAAGATGTGAAATTAACCCAAGTGCCCATCAATTCATGAATGGATTAACAAAATGTGGTATATGTATCCCATGGAATACTACTCAGCCACAAAGAAGGATGACTTAATGCCTTTTGCAACAATCTGAAAGAAAGGGGAGACTATAATCCTAAGTATCTAAATAATAGAAAAACAAACACCACATATAGTTCACTATTAAATTGGAACTAATTGATGAGCACACATGTGCATAGAGGGAAGTAAAACTCCGGGAAAATCAAGCAGGGGGGAGGGGGAAGAGGGTTAGGCGAAAACCTACCTAATGGGTACAATGAACACTACCTGGGTGACAGGCACACTTATAACCATGACTCAAGCATTGTAAAAATAGTCCATGTAACCAAAATAATTTGTACCCCTGTAATACTTTGAAATAAAAAATTTTTAAAAAAGAATATTGAAAACAAGCCAGATAAGCCCCCACAAATGAGACTAGAAAGCAATGAAATAAGAACAATTTAAAAACAATAACAAAAAAGAAAAGAGTAACAAAACCAAAAGCTGGCTTTGAAAGGACTAGTAAGATAAATAAAATTGGTTAATGAAAAAGAATAAGATGCAAATAAATACAGTATAAGGAAGGAGATACGACTTTAGTCACAAGAGAGCATTAAAAATGATTTAAAAATTATGAACTGTATGCCAATAACTGAAAGCTTAGACAAAATGGATAAATTCCTGTAAAAACAAAAAGTGTCAAAATTGGCAAACTAACTAAATAAACTAATAAGTATTAAAGATATTTAAATAGTAACAAAAGACACCCCCTTCTCATCAGAGTCTCAAACTCAGTTTTATAAGAAAGCACCATATTAAAAAGTTTCAAGGAACAGACTACCTTACAAAGTTGTTGCAGAAAATAATGAAAGGAGAAAGGCTTATTCACTTTAAAACCATGATTCAGTAAAAAAATAGTTCTATTTGGTTTATGAGTTTTAATGAAAAAAATTAACTTACTAAATCCTTCAGTATATTAAAAATATGATCAAGTTAAGCCATGCAAAGATGGTATGATATCAATAATTTTATTAATGTAACTTACCTCTGCAATGGAGTGAAAATAAAAGATATGTGATTATCTCAAAAGATGCAGGAAAAAATAAATTTTAAAACACTTTTGATAAAAATTCTAACATAGCCTTGTTAAAAGCTATTTATGAAAAACCTACAACAAACATCATGCTTAAATAGAGAAAATTTCTAGGCATTTCCTATAATACTGGGAACAGCAGAATGCTCACTATCATGACTACTGACTGTTTAATGTATACTAGGTGCCCTAGCCAATGAAGTAAACAAAAAAAAATAAGCATAAGTATTGAAAGGGAACAAAATGTCATTGTTTATAGCCGACAAAATCCTTTACAGAGAAAAACACAATAGAAAAACAGGTAAACTAGTAGATCTAATGAGAGGGTAAACATTTATCCTATTAGAAATCTAATAAAACATAAGATATCATTTACAACCATTAAAAATAATTGAGAATTAATATAACAGAATATACAAGACTTCTATGGGGAAAATTTACAACTCCATTGAAGGGCATAAAAGATGACCTGAGAAAATAGATGTGGCATGTTTATGCATGAGAAAACATCACAAGAATGTCAGTTCTCTCCTGTTTACAAATTTGTTGCAAGTTCATTCAAAATTCCAGTAAGAGGTTTTGAGCAACTTAACATTTATTTGAAAATGTATATGGAAGAATCAAGGTCCGTGAATATCTAAGTTTTGAAAAATAAGAGAGGACACCTGTCCTACCTAACAGACAGTAAGATATAAGTTATTAAAACAAGACAATAAGAAATTACAAAGCCAGAGTATTAGAACTGTTGTGATATATTATCATGGAGGAACCGTGAGTGGAGGGGAAAAGATGAATTATTAAGCAGATTGAAGTGGGGAAACTAGCTCAATATATTCCAAGAGATACAAAGTTGGGTATCTTACCATATACAAAGGTTAACCCCATATTCATCATTTATTCAGCAAATATTTATTGAGCATCTAATATGTGTAAAAGATTTTTCTAAATAGTGGGGATATGTCAGTGAAAATGGCAAAAGTCCTTGCCATTATTAAAACCCTAGCTGTAGAGGGTAAAAATATAAAGTCAATACAAGGAAACGTAGGATAATTTTTTCATGATTTCAGAGTGGGGAAGGACTTTTTAAACAAAAACCCCAAACACCCCACAAAGTAAAAGGCAAAAAATACTTGATAGGTTTGATTATGTCATGATTAAATATGAGGACACCTTATGACCCACCGATATAGCCCACAGAAACTCTCATAGTTCCATACAAAGATTCATGCAAGGATGCTCATCACGGTGTTGTTTCTGGTAGCAGGGAATAGGAACCAACCTTGGTGCCTACCTCTAGAGAAACAAGGAAAATGTGCACACTATGGATACCATGCAGCAGTTAGTGGCACTGAATTAGATGTACACTGAGCAACATGGAATGAAACCAAACAATATTGCATGAAAAAATAACAGACTTGGAGCAATAGCTCCATATCCTGCATATAAATGTCAAAGATACATATTCATAACTAATACTATATATTCTACAAGGGTACAGACATACCCAAGGGCATATACCAAATAGTATAGAGCTGGTTCCTTTGGGAATGGGAATTAGGAATGAAGGAAAGAAAAATGAAATAAACAAGGTTCTTATACGGACTGATGGTGATAATGAGTTAAGAACTAAGGAGTGCGATGAATTCAACTATCTGTACTTAAGTCCAAAACATAAAAAAGGAAAGACAGATCAATTCCCACTATAATTGTTAAGAGAAGAGGGTAGAATCCGATGATCTTGAGTTGAAAAGTACCTTATCAGTCATGCAATCTAATTTCTTCTCAAGGCAGGAATTCTCTGTCCCAAATCTTTGGAAAATATCACCCTCCACCTGAACGACAACACAGGGCAGACTGTTAGAGTGTTGGATGAAACCATGGGCTCAGCATTCTTTCATACATTTGTCCGAAACTGCCCTCCTATAAACACCCAACCGTTGGTCCGAGTTCTGCTGTCTGGCATTGTACCCAATGAATTGACATCCTCTTTCACAAAACAGCACTTCAAACACCTGAAATTGCTGTTAACAGTTTAAGTCTTCCCTCTTCCAGTAACACAAACCCAGATTTTTCAGTTGTTCCTCATGTGACCTGTTCAGGGTCATCTAAAAAGTATCAGGGATTTATAGCATGACATCAGCTACTAAATGTGGCTTGCTTGTTTGAGAAAGGTACTGAAAGCCCACTGGGAGCCAGGCATTATGCAAGATGCTACGCGTGGGTGCTCAAAAAACCACAACAAAAAACACTTCCAGGAGAGTTGTAATTGAAAGGATCTTGAACTGATAGTCTTGATCTACTGGACTTTGAAATGTATAAAGTTCAAACAAATCTCTGCTATGAGTGACCACATTTTATACACTGATTTATTCATTTATTGAAGAGATATTTCTTGAATATATTTTTTTGTGCCAAGGATTGCTATAGGCTCTGAAAACTGGAACATACTTCTCAGTACCATGGAGAAAGAATCAAAGACCTAGAATTGAATCTCAGGGAGCAGGCTCGCTTCTGGTGTCCTTTGCTGAACCAACCAGAAGGATTTGGCTCCCTCAGCTCTCTGGTTATGTCTGCATTTGACCACTTCTCTACCTGGTGGTAGCCATGGATTGCCGTGACCCCAAACTCACAATGATTCATACCTTGGGCTCCAAGCACAATGTCTGTTCACGTTATCTGCAAATCCAGAGCTCCTCTCTTTAATAACTTTGAAGGTAAGACCAGTGGTGTGAAATAAACCACTAAGGTTTGAAGATAGGTAATGGAAAGGGCATAGAATTTGGTATATTCCAAACTAACCAGGTCCTCAGTAACATTCTGAACTAGCAGAAAAATTCAAGGAGGTTAAGAGGCCAATTTAACAAACCCTTCAGAAATGTGCTTCTGGTCAATAACTTCTACGAACTGGGCACAGCTCTGTGCAGCACATAGTTCTGCACTGTGGAGGCTGCAAGGGAGGCCCAACTGTGCTTTGATGGCACCTAGAACGTAGTTGGGACTATCTTAAAGATCTCCACATGTATCACTGTACAGGACCACATCCATGCTGCTGAAGTGCATGGTGCTGGTGCATAGGGGCAATTAGGCAAAATCGGGGAGACAGTGTGTCCAGGGCAAAGAAGGAGAAGAGCTAGAAGGAGAGGGACCCAGGCTGGAGGGAGAGGGGTGCATAGGCGGGTCAAGGCGCTCACGGTGATCAAGACCAGTACAGGCAGCTACAGAGAACGTGTTGGCTGTTTTGGGAGGCTGAGACCCTGACCCCTCACCAATCCTGCACACATTTCCAGCATCCCTAGATCCCCACCTCCATCTGACACATTGGGCGGTGTGTATTGCCCCGCCCAACCACTTGCTTTATTTACAGACAAAGAAACTGAGACCTAGAGCAGGGAGGAGGTTTGTCCAAAGTCACACAGCCACAGGACTGGATCTCAGGGCTTCAAACTCACAGCCAAGTGCTCTCTCCTTTGCATGAAGCTGCCCCTCTGCACAGTCGGGAGGAAGGTGTCAACTGTGATATAGAGGCAGTACCTTTGGCAAATCAAAGAGGGTAGGTTCAGGCTGTCCCATTCCAAGAAAGGAGAGTGAGAATGAAGAGGGGCTTTGAAATTGTTCCTGGTGTATGCTTGGGAGGTGTATGCTTGGGGGAGTGACCTCTGATGCTGGTGGACAGAACATCTTCAGTTACCCAGACCAGGAGAGTCTGAATTGTCTGTTAGAGTTTGGCATTCCGGACCTACACCTGCAGACGTGGGTCACCGGTGACAGCTATTACGCGTCTCTTCTCTAACTTGCTGTATCCAGTGTCCTTATCTTCAAGGCAAGACATCTGTATACTCATTACTGTTCTCTGGGGGAAGAAAGCAGACGACCAGCCATGAGACTCCACACTCAGAAGTCACGCTGACCAACCCCCCTCGAGGGAAAGAAGGCCTCTCCCCAGGCACAGGGTGATCTTGATGCCACATCAGAGTCACATCTTCGAGGTCTGGGGTACCCTAGGGAGCTATCTTGGCAAAACCAGGGGTCTTATAAATAAGCCAACCTCAGAGTTTCCAGCACCAGACTCCATTCGCCAGCAGAAAACCTGTGCTGCCCTCGGAGTAAGAACATCTGAAGCTTGTCCTGAGGAGGCAAAGGGGAGGATATTTCCCCTTCCATACCTGAGTCTTTAGGAGCTCACTCTGCCAGCGCTGACCAAGCACGGAAAGTTGGAAAGGTGAGACCTGTGCCCAGTTCTTAGGGAAGATCTCTAAAGGTTCTCCTCTTGGGATTTGGGATTATTTTATCATTGCTGAGACAATGACTACCACCACTCCAACCAGTCCCAGCAACTCATTTGGGTTTGCCTAAGGGCTGCAGCACGGGTACCTCCTTGGGTTTCTAGCTCTGGCACCTTTTATATTTTTTATTCTATAATTTTTGGTGGAAAGTAGCCATAGACTACATCTGCAGCTGAACCCATAGAAAGTGATTTTGTGTCTGTGGGTGCACACTCCCCTGCATGAGGGTGTGAGGGGACAGATAAATAATGTAGGGGAGGGGATTTTATTTTATCATTATAACTCCAGCTTAGTCTTGCTGGGGAGGTGAGAAGCTATCTGTGGCAGCTGAAAGGGTGACTTTGCTGCAGACAGAGCTGAATGGGAGTGGAGTGATTGCAGACTCCCCAAGGACTCTCTGTCCTTCTCCTTAGTAAGCACATCTGCTCTCATCCCATCGCCTGCCCACTGATAACTGCAGTCCCTTGCATGGAGAATATAACCATGCATTCCAACATGGGAAAACAGGATTAAGCCCTAAATGTCTCTGGAAGTCTGAGTTAAATTCAAACTACATTACAACTCACAGATACTAAATCCTTCTCTGAGAGCAGATTTCAAGGGTGTGGGTAAGCAAGAGTAGCTAGCTGCTTGTGATGATTTGAGAGGCTTCTGTACTCAAATCTACTGACCATCTCTCACCATGACTTAATACCTTTAGGGATGTATCTGACGTAATTTGACACCTAACACTTCATAAATGAATGCTTAGCAAATATCGAGCACAATGTAACAGGATGAGCCTTAGGGAAGGAGTAGATGGCCTGAAGTGATTTTAGCATTTGAAAAATCTGCCCATTTGCCCATTTATCCCTAAACTTGAGTGGTTTGCACAAGATCACAGAATGAATTTGAAATCAGCTCTTAGACCAGGAACCCCGCTGTCCAAGCACAGAAAGCTCTATGTCTTGTCTACCTTTGGGGGCTAGAAGACACCACTTCTCAACAAAATGCACATTGTTCTTAGTAGGATGAAGCTTTTTAGAGATAATGTCACAGAAAAGGCCATTTATCTATACTGATTCTACGATGTAGGTCACTGGTAGAAATGGGATTAAGGATCCTTTCTGACCCCCATGTGAAAGCTTTTACCATAAATGCCATCCAGCTCTAATTTCAATCTTCTCCATCTCATGTAGGGGCTTATTCTGTTTATTGGCTTTATAAGCTGAATCACCAGCCCTTGATCTGGTTTTTCAAATTTGGAGATCAATTCCTTTAGGTTTGGAAAGATCTGTTTTGGAGCACCTTTCACAGTCTGCAAAAACACAAGAAAAGAGGTTGATCACTCATTATTGTGCAATTATGTGTGAAATGTGACACTTCTCAAAACAGTGGTTTTCTCTGTGAGTTGACAAACTGAAAACAAGTGGCCAACAGCTCATGCTTAAGAGCTCACACCACTTGCAATTCACAGAAACTCTCATTTTTTAAGACCAAGCTCTGACTTGAGCTACTCTGAGTAAGGAGGATTTCCAATCAAGGGATCCTTAACTCAGTGAGCAGTACTGAATGAGCGCCCATCCTTGGCAAGTTTGTCCAAGGGTGTTCTTGTAGTTGCATTGTGAAGGGTACCCTTCCAAGAGCTTATGTCAGACTCTGCCTTGCTGGCAGGCTTTGCTATTTTAGCAGACTAACAGAAGTGGACTTCTAAGGGGAAATGCAAAATATGCAAATTACATACTTGTTGAATTCGGAATCTCCATGTGAAACAAGACCAAAAAAGTCCCAATTTAAGTTATGAGTAGGAACGTCAACATGACTCAGTTAAATTGTAAATAGTTCTTTTCTGTTTACCAGCTATAAACCAAGTGCTGTTTTCTAATATAACCTTACCGAAATAATTTAAAAACAAAAAGAATTTTCTTTTGCTCTTATTTTTTGGTTTAGAAAAATCTAGAAAACCAAAATATAAGAAGGTGGGGAAGAGAAGGTTTTCTTACGTGCAGTGTGGTTAACCTCCATAATAGAGGTGCAGGCTGACCTTGAGGTTGACTGCAGGGGAGTCCGTTTAGTGCAGTCTCTTCAACCCAAAGCACCATCCACTGCGGGCCTCTGAGTGCAAAGCCGCTCCCCAGTGAAATGCCCCTCTGTGTCTGAGTTTGGATTCACTAATTTGGATGCCTCTCCGTTTTGTCCAGACAAGAGACAAAACAGGGTACTGAGGAATTATCCAGAATTTCTCAAAGTACAGCAGAGAAAAAATGTTTTGAAATAAGTTGCTTTTTAGAAGACATTTTATCTTGAAATTATTTGAGACACAGCAAAGTTGCAAAAATCATAAAAAGAGAAATTCCCATATATATCCTTTACCCATGACCCAAATATTAATAGCTTTTCATTCTCTCTCTAAATATATACATATATGTGCTTGTACATATGCACATATATACATATACATATATACATGCACAATATATGTATATATTATTTAAAAAAATTTTTTTTTCAGAGTTAAGTTGCAAACATGATATCCCTTTAACTCTAAATATTTCAGGGTTTCCTGAGAAGTAAGGACTTATGTAATCACACTACAATGATTAAAATCAAGAGATGAACCTTGATATAGAGTACTATTCGCTAATCTTATTCAAATTCTGAATTTATTTAAATTCTGCCAACTGCCTCAATAATGTCTTCTATAGCAAAAGAAAAATTATATAAATGAGCTGTTTGGGGATCATTGTATATTCTAGTCTCTTTCAGATAGTCACAGTAAACATTAGCATATTGAAGATTCTGAGAAATCTTGTAGTCTGCTTGACCTTACATGCAAGTGTTTCAGAAAGATTATTTCAGGATTCTCTGTTAGTAATTAAAATTCAGTAACATTTATTATACTCTACTTCCTAAGTCAGAGAACTAAATTCAAAAGAAGCAAAAAGATTTTTCTGTTTAGCTCTCAGTAAACCTGGAAAATTAAACAAATCCCTAAGACTTCCAGCTATCTAATGCTTCCCTTTATATTTGCATACTATAGTTGTAGACTTGACTTTTAAACATTCAGACCTCTCCCCGCCTTCCCTTCCCACTTCCGTCCTGCGTCACTGTTTAGTCTTCCAGGCTGGTACATTCACCACTGGAGGAACCAGAGTTGGATAACAGCCATGGTTATTTAGAAGTGAAACCCACGTCTAGTGCCTTCTTATTTCTCTCAGAGAAAGACCAGGCTAACTGTTGATCTGACTTTGAATTCTGCCTAGTGCTTCCCTTGGTAGAGTGCCTTCACATGGTCACATTCCAGGTTCAAGAGATGATCTCATGTTCTCCTCTCCCAACTTTTTTGTTTTTATTGTTGCAGGAGTCCACATACGTTCTTACCTCTATCTGGTAATACCCATGTTTCTCTCTGAAGATTCGGTATGTGTAGACAATTTTTTTAAACCTGTGGAAAGATGATTGTGTCATAATATTCTTATATACAAATCCAGGTAACACCTATCATCATATTTTGTATGCAGTATCTTTGTCAATCTTAAATCCCCAGAAGAAACTTAGTTCATTTTCTGCTGCTGTAACAGAATACCACAACTGGGTAAATTGTAAACAACAGAAGTTTATTCAGCTCAAGTTCTGGAGGTTGGAAAGTCCTAGATCAAGGGACTAGTGAGGGCCTCTTGCTGCATCATCGTATGATGGAAGAGCAAGTGAGCACGTGTGAGGCAGAAGAAGAAAGGGTGAGGGCCAAGCTTATCCTTTAATCAGGAGCCCATTTTCTCAATAACTAACCCACTCTCGAGATAACAGCACTAATCCATTCACCAGGGCAGAGCCCCCATGACCTAATCAGCTCTTGAAGCTCCCACCCCTTAACACCATTATAACGACAACTTATTTTAATGCCTTCTATTCTTAATATTTTATAAATGCCATTTGCAAAACTTTTAAAAGAAACATGATTTTTGCATTGCACATTTATACTAAAGATTTGTAAAAATTTGTAAAAATCTTTATACTAGAATTTGTAAAAATCTTTATACTAAAGATTTGTAAGAAGACCTGGCCTTCTACCACCATCACCAATGGAGACAAGGAAGCCCTTCTCCACCCGCCCAGCACTCACTCTTGCTTCCACTCTCTCTGCCTTGAATTCATTTGGCTAAACTTTCATTATGCCTTTTATCCCTGTCTGTCAGTCATTATAAGAACGCCCCGCCCCCCAGTCTTGCAGGGCACCCTCATCTCCCACATTCTAATCCCAAAGCCCTCTCACTATGGGGTCTGGAGGTGAAACCAATGTTCTTACTCTCATGGCTCTTCAGTGCTGCTTTCTTCCTTGCTGGAGTCCTGGGCTTTGAGTTTCATGTCATTGGATTGTATCACTTACTACCCCTCACTGTTGTTGACATCTGACCCCTGGGTTATTGCTGCTCATTTCTCCAGGTTTTAGCTCCTAGCTCACTGTCACTACCTCCAATACCATTCTTGTCTAAACTTCTGACGATTTCAATTCACGCATAGACTATCCAACACCTCAATTTCTCAGTTCCTCAAAGTCCTCTCTTCCAGTGATCTTGTCCTCTACCTACTTCAGCCACTCACTCCCCGGTTCATAACCAGGACTGGCTACATAATTTGCTGGTTCCAGGACAAAATGAAAGTGTAGGCTCCCTGGTTAAACAATTGCTAGCAATTTTGAGATGATAACAGCAGAGCATTAAACCAAGTGTGGGCCCTCTGAGGGGAGGACCGGTGTGACTGCGTGGGCTGCACACTATGATGCTAGCCCTGCTCACAGCTTTAACCTCGTAATTGCCAATAACTGCAACCCTTTCCTAATCTTAGTTCCATGCATCCCACTCTCTTTTCCCTGCTTCCTATCTTTTCAGATCCGTTCCTCTAGTTCACTGATCCCAACAATCCCTGGACCCCATGGACCCTCCCCTCCAAACCATTGATTCTTCCACTTTTCACTGTTCCTCACTCACATGTCTTGACTCCCTTCTTTATCCAGTTTAAATTGTCCACATCATAATCATTCTCTTATATACATTCTTGACTCCTTTAGCATCTTTCACTTTATTTACTCCATTAGCAACAACAGAACGCTTATTAAATTCAACTTTCTGCAGCTGTTTGTGGTTGGGAAGAAACACACAGCCGGTAGGCTGGTTTCACTTTAAATTAATGACCGCAGACCTTGACCAGGCTGTTAAGGCTTGTGGGCGATTATTTACTTCGCTATTGACAATGATTCTATACATTCTCCATTTTCTTAAATCTGCAACATTTTCTTTTCCATCCTCACCCGTAACTGATGACTTCACTGAGAAGATTAAAGCAAACAGTAGAGAATTTCCAGACTCCCACCCCCACAGCAATTAGCATCTGCACTTGTACACTTTGCCTTTATTATTATACCATAGATGAACTTCGCGTGTGGCTCTTCAAAGCCAATCCCTCCTGTTTCCACTGGCTGCCAATCCCTGTTCATCTATTCGAGGACAGAGTTCTGGCAATTCTTTCCTCCTTCTCTGACATCATTATTATTCTTTACACAACAGCCTGGGTGGTCCTTTAAAAAAATGTGAGTCAGATCGTGTCACTGCTCTGCACAAAAATCTAGGCTTAGAAGGGTCAGGACATGTTCTTGCTTTGGCAGCACATATACTAAAATTGGAACCATACAGAGAAAAGTCAGGACAATTTTAAGAAGAAAAATAAGATCAAGAGGGTTGTGTGTGTGTGTGTGTGTGTGTGTGTGTGTGTGTTGGGGGGAGGTGTTCCTGTCTTAACAGGTCTTAAGTCTTCTTTTAAGGCTGTAATTAAAATAATGAGGAATTGGTTCCAGGGTAGAAAAAGATATTAATGGCATAAAATAGGGACCCCAGAAACAGACTCATCCATATGTAAAAACCTGATATATGAAAGAGCTGGCATAGCAGATTGGTGGGGAGGGGACGGACTAGTTATTAAGTGGTAGGCAATGTCACGTGATATTTTCATGTGGAAACAAATAAAACAGGATCTCTGCTTCACACTCTGAAGACTCAGTTATGAAAAAGCAAAACATTAAACTTTGGAGAAGTAAGTAGAAGCGAACAACGTAATGACCTTGAGTTAAGGAAGGAGTTCTTGAATCACAAAAAGTACAAGCCATAGAAAAGATTAATAAATTCATTATATTAAAACTAAATCTTCTATTTATCAAAATATACCATTAGCAAAGTGAAAAAGTCCACAGATTGGGAGACGATAATGGCAACACTAATATATAATAAAAGCACTCTTTTTTTTTTTTTGAGACAGAGTCTCACTCTCTTGCCTGGGCTAGAGTGCTGTGGCGTCAGCCTAGCTCACTGCAACCTCAAACTCCTGGGCTCAAGCAATCCTCCTGCCTCAGCCTCCCAGGTAGCTGGGACTACAGGCATGCCCAGCTAATTTTTTCTATTTTTAGTTGTTTGGCCAATTTCTTTCTATTTTTAGTAGAGACGGGGTCTCGCTCTTGCTCAGGCTGGTCTTGAACTCCTGAGCTCAAACAATCCGCCTGCCTCGGCCTCCCAGAGTGCTAAGATTACAGGCGCGAGCCACTGCGCCTGGCCAGAAGTACTCTTATACAACAAGGAAAAGACAAATGAAGCGGCCAAGAGACATGTGAAAAGATGTTTCACTATCAATCAGGGAAAAACGAACAACAATTAGATATCATTTTGTACCAGATTGGCAGAGATATTAGAGTTCACCAATGCAAAATATTGGCTGCAATGTGGAGCTACACAGAGTTTTATATACTATTGATGAGAATGTAATTAGATACTAATATCTTGGAGAACAATTTGGCAAAATTTAGTAAAGTTGAAATGTGTACAATCTATGAGCCCAAATGTCTATTCTTTGAGATGGCCATACTGGAACAAAATTGAATATGCCAAGATTCTATTATTTATTAAAAAGCAAAAATCATTGAAATTAAACATTTAAATATAAAAAATCATAAATGTAAAAATCAAGTAAAAGTGTAAAAATACATATAATAGATAACATATTTTTCTAATATGAAGTGTTATTAGATGAAATTAATTAAAATGTAATATTTAAAAATTAACAAATTAAACACCTCATAAAACTTAATAAATTCTAGTTAATCCTAAAAATTAAAAACAAAATAGTTGTTTTTAAAGTGCAATTGTGAGGTAAAGGAAATAGGATGGTTGAAGGCAAGGAGAAGGAAGGCAGAAGGGAGAAAGAATCTAAGGATTTTTTTGTGTGGGCAAATTTTTTCAGCTGTTGGAAAAGCTCTATTTGTTTACATTAGTTGGGGAATGGTACAGATGTAAGTATAAGCTAACTGCAAATACTTTCCTCTGACTCATTCATCTTCAAATAATTCCATCTCCTGTACTGCAACTTTGAGACGATCTTTTTTGAACATTTTAGATTTTTATAGGAGTTGATGTATTTTTATTGAAAACAAGCTACAAATTTTGTTACTTAAGCCCTTAGTAATGTTGGTGGTTAACTTTCTAAATTCCAGATGCTTACCAACTGCACTGAAATAGCCTTTATCCAAACACAAAAGCAATACAATTAAACAGATAAAAAGGGCTTACCACTAAGTATTAATATTATTTTTTCCATCAACCTTTTGAACTTCAATATTTTGAGGGAAAGGCTATGTTTTCATTCTCTAGTAATTTTCTCTTTTGGAGGTTTTATTTTTTTAAATATTCAGAAAAAAGTTTTAGATCCTTTAAGAAACAGATCTCAAATATTCTAAAAATTCATATCCCTGATTTTTCCCCTGTGAGTTGGGGAGGGTGAGATGCGGGAAAGGGGGACTGGAAGCTGATTCTGCTGGGGAAAGAAGAGGAGAGATAGTGGCATTTACTTAGTGTATTCCTGTCTTAACAAGTCTCAGGCCTTCTTATAAAGCTATGATAATTAAGATAATGAGGATATCATAATGCCCTCACTAATTGCCAAGAGAGCTAGTTGTACAAAGCAGCTGAGATGATGATTCAGGGCATGGAGAGCTTCGGGTGAAGTGTCTTGGGATGGAGGGAAAGGAGGGAAACCTCTGAAAAAAGTCATCCATTACTATCCAAACCTACCACTTATCATACTGAATTTTGATTATCCATTTACTTGTCTGCAACTCACACAAGGCTGTGAGTTCCACAAGGACAGAATCATAATGTCTGCTTTGTTCATTCTGGCACATTGCCTGACTCATAGTGCATACTCAATAAATATTTGTTGAGTCGCATTGAATTATCTTAAGAAATGTGCCAAGCCTATATGAAGAAATCTTACCAAGAGACATAAAAGAACACTTCAGTAAATAAAGGGAGATTGAAAGTTTTTGGATAGAAAGACTGACTCTTGTAGAGATAATAATTGTTTATCAAACTATATTTTAATTTCCATTTCTAGTTCTAACCTTCC